TATATATACGTAGTATAATCCAGATAAATATGTTCTTGAACAGTGCATTTTCTGAAGAGGTAAATGCTTAGAAAAGTTTGATAATCACAACAACATATTTGCTTATATTTACATTTCTTTATCCTTCTGTTTACTGAGGCCATCAACTAAAAAGCTGTAAAGAAAAAAATGGGTTGATTTAATCTTTCTTTTTAATCCATCATGTCACATGGAAATAAAAGAAACAAGATTAAATCTTGTTTAGGTGAGTGCAACTCAAATGTTGTGAAAGTTAGAAATATTGTGGGATGATGTCACAATTGACGCATTACATCATTAACCCCTGCCTGTATTTTGGAGGGGCTGAGTTGGCAAACTTCTTTCTTGCTTATTTATTTGATTAATTTTTCTATCTTGCTAATTAGCTTATGTAGCTACATAGCTACTATTCAGGGTTAAGTTACACGTAGTTAAATACATAATCAAAACATAATGCTCTCAGCTGAACAAATGATAAGGGTGCCCATATACATCAAGCTGTGAAACAACAGTGTAAAAACAAGTAAAGTCCAACACCTGACTGCAAATATTAAGTATTGCTAGTAATATTAATATTAGACATTTTAGACACCAGAGGTTTTCGGTTGACAAACCTACATTGGCTACATTCACGTTATACAGATACTTTTAAAAACATTTTGAGGCATTTTAATAACCATTTTATAAATTTGAGTGTCTGTTTTACTGGGTTAATGCAAGAAACTTTATTTTCTAAATGCTACTTAGACATTCGTGATGTGAAATTTATTTGTTACCCAAGGATGAAATTGTTCTAACTCCGTTTCTTTCTTTTCTTTCCTTTGCTTTTTTTTAATTTCCTATGTCAGGTCCTGATGAGGAATCATCACTTATCAAACATATAAACATATCCAGTCCTCAGGCTTCCGAACAAGACACTTCCATTGGCCAGTGGACTGTCAAGTCTATGTATGATCCCCAACTAGAACTTCCTGAAAATGTGGCATATATGGCCAAACACTCATCATGGGAGCCAAATGAAGCTAAAGCAGGACCTCTTAATGAGATGACCCTCCCCAACTCCCTTAGCGAAGAAAACATGGAAAACTATTCGGGTGAAGGCAAGGATGTGGATCCAGATGGTGGTACTATAGCTGACAGAGTTGTATCTGCATCAGCAGAGGAGAAGGATTTGGATGGAAGTGGACACGAGAGGAACTTTCCTGCTGGCTTTGAATTGAAACTACACAATTTGTCCAACAATGATGTCAAATTAAATTCTGACATTGAATTTTCACCCAGCCCAAGTGCTTCTGTGTCTGTGGGTGAGAACACTTTATCTCAGAGGCAACTTGTGGAGCAATTTACCACCTTACCATACAGCCCATCAGAACCAGAGACAGCAGAAGATGTCAAAGGAGTGACCTCATATGTCAAGAACCCTACTAAAAATCTTGACTCTACATCTCCTCTGCAAACAATAGATGAGAGCAGGAAAGAGTTGAAAGCTACCACAACTAAAGCTTTGATGGAGGTGCTGACAACATCTGAGGTGACTTCAGTGGATCTTTTAGCCAGAGATTCACATGGGACAGATCATACCAGCAGACTAACAAGCACTGAAAACACATCTGACAGCTTCTTTACAGAGGAGCCGTCATTCTCAGTCTTGGGAGTTCAGGAAGAGAATGAGAACTCTACAAGTGTACCAGATCTGCAAACGCCTCTTTTAGTTACTTTGACACCTACTGAAGGATCTCAAACTGAAGTCTTTCAGTTGAAAACCACTACATCTGGCTCAGGGGTTGGCATCACAGAAATGGAGTCCAGATCAGCAGTTTCTGAGTCCTTTGCTGTGGGAAGTCATTGGACATCTTTCAAGGACTCAAAGTCAGAYGAACTAACAACTTCAAAGGCAGCAGAGAGCAAAGACACAAACAACCCGCTTGGCAGTCTTGTACCCAACTGGGCGTTTGGCCTCATCCCATCAGGTAGGTTTTTGTTGTCAATTTAACAAAGGGTCAAAACAACAAAAGTGTCAACATTACCATTATAATTAATTGTGATTATCTTATCAGCACTGATATATTGAATTATGCATGCAGCTCAGTGAGAAGAGACACAGCAGTACGCTAACACAGCTGCATGCACTTCTGAGATCAAAGTTTCTAACACTTCAAGTTTGAAACATCTCCTCCTCTGTTTCCTTTTATCTGTCGCCTGTTGTTTCTTTTTACATACTCTTTCTTCCTGCTCTAACATACATCATGCATTCTTAATCCAGCCTGGTATTTTTTTTCTTTTCCTTCACGTTTTCTCAGTCCTATAGACAGCTTCAGACAGTAACACAGTGCAGCGAGGTAAGACCAAGGAGTAATTAGTGGGTCAGAGTGAGTGCAATTAGTTGAACTGGGGAGAGGCAGAGATCCTATGTCCAGCAAATCAATGTCGACACAAACTACAAGACGGGAGTCGTAATTGACTGTGGTCTCGTCTTCTTTCTCAATTTTTAGTTTGTCCATGTTCACTTTGGTTGGTCCCTGGTGCTGGCTTCAACTCTACCCTTGCACACTCGATACACAAACATGTGTAATGGAAATGTCTGTGATTCTTTTGTCTCAGTATGCTCTTATTGATTTATTTTAGTAGTTAATGGACCTGCTACTGTGGTAGTACAACACAAAGTGAATGAACAAACATTGCTTTCTTAAGCCACTCAATGCTTCCTTGTCCAAACTGGTATGCTTAACTAATGAAATATATTTTTCTCAATGTTTCATTTTTGAAAGAACTTCAGGTTTAACATTTATTGAGGACTTTGCTGCTGACGGGCAAAACATGGGCAATAATGTTTGTGTCTGTGTGCTCACAATTGTGTTTGTTTATCTGTTACTCAAATATCTAATGAACAACTGAACTAATTTCACTAAAATTCACAGAGAATTCATTGGATGTCTCTGATTACATTTTTGGAGTCATTGGCATGTAAGGTGGGCGCTATGCAGTGGTGGGCATAGCTGACCAAAAGGTTAGGTTAACTACTAATCTGATAAAACTCTTAGCTCCTCTGATGCTAATTTGCTAAACAGATAAATTTGTGGAAGCTAACGCTAACTGCTAAGATGACTGTCATTCAGCCTGTGTCACGTCTTCACCTCCTTCCAGTTGAAGACTGGTGGAAATGACACAAACCTGCTGTTATAATGGTTTAATCTGAAGGCAGGCAGGATAATTTGTGACAAATTGGCCAAACTAAACCAGCGTTATAGTTCTGTCTAACTTGTTACACTTCCACATTCCCCTTCAAAATAACAGCATATGAGTTTGAGTTTGTATTTTCAGAAATACAATTTGTAGTTTGTCAAAAAATATCTTTATATACTGTATTTCATATGCTCTCCTTTTTTGTATTCATTGCTTCAATATTGTTAAATGTAATTTTATTTCTTTTTGACACTCTTAGTTTGAAGTTTAGCTTAGTTTAAAGTTGCCTACATGCTACGCACAGTGCTTGACTCGTCCTGCATAGCTTGTACGTATGAAGTGATAGGTTTTATTTAATTCGGGATAAATGTCATAAAAATAGATGTTCTACACTTGTGAATTTTTTTAATGGACTTATAATTAACCAAACTTAATTTAGCAGAAGCTAACGCAAAAGGTCTGCTAACGGTTTTCGATGCTGGCTAAAAAGTTAATCTGATAAATGAGAATATAGTTATTAGTAGATTAATGGAACTGTCCCCAGCACATTTGCAGTTTTGCAGTTCAGCCAACTGCAGTTGGTGAGGAATCAGAATAGCAAAGCCTGATTACTTTGCTCTTTCTTGTAGTCTTTAGTACAGAATAAATACAAGCAATGTTTTTCAGCTTTTTACTGCAGGCATTTAGACAGACAGAGGGAGATGGAAAGAGCTGGAAGAAACAGGCTGTGGAGAAAAATTTGAGTAATGGGATAAAGGGAGTAGTGAGAGGTGAATGTGTCCTCAACAGTTCTGCCGTTACAAGTGGATAGACTGTAAATTGTAACGATTTGTAAAAGTTTCAAATATATATTTAAGTCTCGTACATAGAAGCTGGAATGGAAATTTACAGAAAGGTTTGCCGTCCAGTCCTTCAGGTTTTCTGAAACAATGCAGGGGTTGTCTATCCAGCCTTTAAACTGATGCCAGTCTGAWACTAAAGCAAACAAGGAACAGGATGCCTGACTTATCATCTTGACTAAAGCCTTGTCAGACTGAAGATGGATCAGACCTTTGGCAACATCAATAACACAGCAGTCTGCCCACAACCAAATTAGAATGTTAAATTTAGAGAAGAGCTAGCTGAAATGTGTGTGTGTGTGTGTGTGTGTGTGTGTGTGTGTGTGTGTGTGTGTGTGTGTGTGT